ACCTGACAGATACATTTAAAAATTGTAAATAGAAAAATGCCTCTAAATGAAAATTTCTGTCGCGGCGTTAATCTGCAATCATGAAATGGAAAAAGTAATACTGCTGAGTGAAATTGGTCATAAGCCATAAACTATGATAAGGGGCTTACATATACCACTTGCAGAAAACAGCCGCCTTCCTTGAGACAACTTGTGCATGAAAATATTGGAAGAGTCGAAATAAGCACAAACAAAATGGTGTGTGTAATATGCCGAAATGGCTTTTCCCCAGAACAATTAAAACAATTAGCAATCGGTGTACACATTACTCCTCCATCTTCTCCACTTCAGATATAGTTTCAGGCATTGTTTTGCCCATTGTCTCTGGTAGAAATACCATTGTTAGAATTGCAGCTATTAAGGAAAGCAAAGAACACGGTATTATCATGGAAAGTTTGCCGTAGGCGTCAACCTGGAAATAATGATTAGTCTTGAGCAACGTAAAGATTTAGGCATCTCCAAAGTTTCAAAAAGTGACTGCAAGGGATCTTCTAGGAATTTGATTGAGAAATTTGGGCGCATTGTAATTTTCATATGGGTTCATCTATTGCCCAGAATTGCATTTTTTTTTGTTCAGCAGTTGTGCGAAATATATTTTGAATTGTTTCAAGCTTATATTACATAATATACTTCTATCACATGACAGCCATACCTAATTTTCGCAATAAGTACTGTAGTCTAAATGAGAAAGTGAGAGAATTAATGAAATATTGGTATCACTCACCATCCACAGTGCCATGAAGGACGAGATCACTGCTCCAAAGCGTGCCATTGTAGAGCAGCATCCGATTGCTGTATTGCGAATTACTGTTGGGAACATTTCAGATGTGTACGTGTAAACCGAAGTCAGCGTTGCAGTAACAGCTAATTTTGTCACTAATATCTGCACCATTCCCCAGTATGCAGGCACTGAAACAAAATCGTCTGTTCAAAGCGTTTTTGGGTAAAGAAGCCATCATTATCATTTCTTCTAGCTTCGTTCAAGTAAAATTATAACAAGTAATCTAAGGAAGTAATCTCCTATATATATAAAGGAGAAAGTCTGTATGAATGTATTTATGTATGTATGCATGTACGTATGTATGTTCGGAATACAAATTTTTGTACATGAACCGAAAAAGCCCAACTTTTGCACA